GGGGCTTCATTCAAAGCGTCTGATCGTGGGAGTTGTCCAGCGCCTCCAGCGAGGCCATGCGTGAGTCAGCCTCAGGAAGATGATTGGCCAAACCGGATTGGGGTCGGCCCGCAGATGCGCACGCACTAGCAGCCGCGAGTGGCAAGAGGTTGAATGTTGCACTCAGAGTTCGGCCACTACAGCACAACTGCCCCACTCCAAGATTAGTGTTTAAATGAAGTCTGGCAGAAAAAATGCATTTGTTTCATGTCGGAGCATATGCTGCAAAAGTGCCTTGTCAAAAATCCGTACAATTTGTCTGTTTTTGCATAGCCCGAAATGCAGTTAATTAGAGCAAAGCGGATTTCGATGCAGGAGGCGTCACGGAAATAAAAGTTTCCACAAGATTACACGCTGACAGTGACGCAATCGTAAACATGCCGTTCTGTGTATACTAAGAGAACCTGTCTATCAAATGTGTGTGCTCTTGTTGCTAATCTAAGAATATGTTGATTTTCAGTGTTTTTGAAATTTCTATCAGTCCATAAACAGTTGCTCTGCGTTATATACGGAGAGCGTTTACCGATGTAATGAATATTAGGACAACAATTTTCATCTTTTATAGACTCATTCATACATAAACTCCACTACCGAATACCTAAACGTCCACAACGGCAAATATGTTTTCGGTCAATTGCAGAGCATGTTTCTAATAAGTTGCCCATTTAAAAAGGTGCCTTAGTACGGGATTCTGCCGAGTAATTTGATCGAATTTTTCCATATTCCTGAAAAATACTGATAATTTTTCCGCCACAGACGTAAGAAATCACTTTCCTGCTTATATTGCGGCCATTTTCGCTACCCTTGCTTTCTTTGAGGCTCTGTTTTCCAATTACGAAGTTATAAAAAGTGGCCTTATACATACTGCCATATTACGTTTTGCGCGTTCAGTTTCTCAGTTACGTATACGCACAAACTAGGCCGCTCAAAAGCTACCTTCCCCGTATGTTTAACTCTTTAAATAACCGTGGTTATTTTGGCGGTTTTGCGTGATGCATTCGAAAAGCGTCGGGAAAATATTGCCATCTTCCAACTGCGAATTGTCTGTAGTCGTTATTACAACACTGTGGGGGTATAAAATCATAAAGATTTGCAAGTCTGACATTTATGCAGCGGTAGGAGATTTGGTTTTCTAAAAATAACCTCTACAACGTCTGCACCTTGAATGCGCCGTTGTACCTGGGGGCGTACAAAGAAAAAGGCATCGTTATCTCCCCCTC